AGGTCTCTGAAGGCGATGTCGTCGACGAACCTCGAGCTCCGATTCGATCATCTCCTCAATTTCGGGGATAGCCCTTTCCTCAGCCTGCTTCTCAATGATATTGCAGGCTAAGTCCAGGTTTGAGTTAACACACATAATAATTGTGCCCTCGGGGAGTCCTTGAGAGAGATCGGTCGAGAGGTTTCGCATGTAGTTGGTGAAGTTGGCGCGAAGGGGTTCCTTAGACGTAACGAGGGCAAGGCCACCTGCGGTGGCCTTCACCATGCTAATAGCACAGTTGCGTACACGGTTCTCGTCGGGCTCTATGGCGAAGTCTTTGTGTATCATCTGCTGCGTTGATATGGCGGCAATTGTAACAGAGCGATCAACGACGGGCTGGATTATATCTTGTAGAGCACGGCTGAGGGCCGTACGAACAATCTCATGAAGACGAGTAGTGCTGACAACCATCTCATTAGTTGGGGGGATAGTAATCAGGGGACCCAGGTCAGGAATGGTTGGCGCAAGAGCCTGAGGTGAGAGTCCAGCACCTACACCGGACCCGATGCCATTGAGCGATAGATTCTCAAATGCGTCTAGTTGTTCAGGGGCCAGGGTCTCTGCCGGTTCTTCAATGACAGGTCGGTTCAGAATTTCGCCTGAAGGTTCGATGCTCCTGTGATCCAGGTTCAAACCTTTGCACAAGACCTCGATCTCAAACTTGAGATTGAGTTTCAGCTCGGCATGATGATAAAGCTCAATTAGCAAATGGATGATATCCATTAGCCATGGATTCGGGGGCCTGAAAACGGCTGATGTGGCCCCTTGAGTCAGAACTTTGCATACGAACGGGATAACAACGATGAGTCGCTTTGTATCATGAGCCTCAATCAAAAGCTGCTTGAAGGCGATGTTCTTATGTTTGATAGGACGATCTCGTGCCAGAGTCAGAAGACCTAGCCAGCCTCCGAGATTTTTGAGGTGAGTCCTCTCCGTTGAGTTCTGCATGGTCGCCTCCGAGTTCAGCATTCGGCACACGCTGATATAAGTCTCTCTCAGGACCTCACTCCAGAGAGCCTTATCTTCGAACAGCTTGACCAGTTCGAGATAAACATGGTGGTAATTTGGCTGCATCTTGGCGCGCTCCTCAACAAGATGGCTAGCAAACCATTGTTGATGTCGACGCTCCATGGTCTCTCGAAGTTCTTGACACATGGCCTGGAGTGTGCCTTCGGTGATATTGTTGAGAACGAACTGGACCTTGTCCTGGGCACCCTCGTCAGGTTCTTCAAACTCAACGTCCATAGCTGGCGGATCGACGTTCAGAGCAGCAAACGCAGGCGCTTGACGCTCAACATTTGTCAGCTCATCCGAGGTTCCATTAGGGAAACCATCGCCCTGAAATCCTAGTCCATGAGGTGTTCCGGCGCCGTTACGCCCACGGGCCAACTCTTCATCGTGCTCACGAACGACCTCCTCTGCCTTTTTGTAAACTTCCGTGTTGTGGAGTCCAGGAATCTGGCAGAGCTGCCTGCAGAAGGCAGGCCATTCTCGGAAGCGAATGAACAACTGCATCAGTGCCTGAAGGCCAAATTTGTACATAGGTTCATCAGGAGAATGGTCCCTGACAGCTTCCAAAATCATGCCCAGTCCAATTTGAAGAGGCAAGTTTGAAACCAGCTTATGCGAAATGATACCACCGAATAGAACTGCGGTTGTTGCCAGGGCTTCCAGAGGATAATCGGCGTAGTGAGAATACTCATCGAAGAGCCCGTGGATCATACATGCGAAAACATCCTGATCCAGAGGATCCCTGGAATGCTTATAGCGGTCTAAGACCTCGACTATATTGCGAACCTGTACTTCATCACTATACATCTTCTTGTAGTGCTCCTCCATCCTGGTGTTGGCGGTCGGAGACAGGAGATTCCCATCCCTTCCATTGGCGTCGATGACATCGTCGTAACCCTCGCCGTAGTTGATCAGTCGGGGGTAAGCAATAATGCAAGCGCGCTGAACCAGGATCAATTCTGGCCTGGGAGGACTTGGCGAAAAGTCTTCGAGGATTCGCAGTAACGCTGATACGGTACGAACTTGGAGAGTCGTTGTGTTCTTAACAGAAGAGTCATCAGAAGTTCCTCGCTGAAACTGGCTCTCCAAGTTGGCCTTTATCATCAAGAACTGAAGCAGAGTACTATACATCTCCTCACTGCGCTCAGCATTGAACCGTGCCCACTTGGACAAATCCAAGTATCCTTCAGCGTGGGCCAGAGCGGCTAAATCGACTCCAAACCCATTTGACTGGTACACCAGTGTGTCAAGCCAGTTGTGCTTTACAGCGTGCTCAAGAATAACCGGGAGGTCCATCGGCTTAACAGCATGAGTGTCTACTAAGCGCTGAATGACCCAGTTCTTGTCCTTCCTCCAGACACTATCCAGAACAAAGTCGTATTGGGGCGAACGCTTATAAAGAAAATTTTCGAACAGAGAACTGAGTGTTTCTACGGCCATTGGGGCCCAATGCTGCCGAGGTACTTCGAAGGCAGAGACCAGGAAGATGTCCAGATTCGGGACTACCACTTCTTGGAAGAGCCTCTTGGCCTCGATACTCGTCGACGCCATCATGGAACTAAGCGCAACATTGAAGATCGAGGAGAGCGCGGCAACGGATATTAACGGATGCTTGACGGCGACAATTGCTCGCTCTTGTACATTCTCAGGGGAGTTCGCGTATTCCTCGATAGTAATGCTGCGCTGGAGCCCGGGAATTGTTGTCGCGTCCAGCTGATCAGGAGTTAAAGAGGCATAGGCACTAACAAAAGAGAGCTGAGCCTCTGGATTCCTCCAAACGCCGCCCCATAACCTCTGAATATCTACTATCAAGCCAGATTTGGAGTCCTGTGCAATTGGCAAGAAAGCTTGGTAAAGTCGAAGGAACTGCTGAGAAGAGACACGAGTCGATGGTTGGTCGAACAGAATGATGACCTCCATCCAGTCGAATGATTTTGGTAGGACTCTCCTGAGAGCAGCAACCAGAACACCAGTATCTTGCTGTGGGCTTTGACTAATGGCAGTGAAGGTCATCGCAGCTGAAACTTGTTCGGGGCCCAACTGCAAGCCGCTGGGGCGGTTCTGTAAATAAGAGACACATGTTTCCTCGTCTCTGGTGAAATCGATGCCCGTCTTTTGGATATATCGCACAAGCCCATTGAAAGGCCTATCGGCGAGCACTCGACTGAGATCGAGAGCCGCGAGGATTTCGGAAGGCGGTGTACGCTCGGGAGACTGGTCCATCCATCGGCTAATGACACGTGTTTCCAATTCGCGCATTGAAGAAGCATTGAAGCTCGGAGGGTGATATTGAAGAAACCGGTCTAGAACTAGGGCGATAAAAGATGGGGTTAAATCGGCATGGGCATCGAGGTCAAATCGAGAGAGTGTATCGATGAAGGAGGGGAAGTTAGTAGATAATATAGCGTCGGCTGCCTTGACATTAGAACACTCCCGGGTCAAACTTCCCAGTGGCATGAACTAACCTTTCGTCTTTAAATCTGCTCGAGAAGTGAGCTTAAAGGCTAGAGCTAATATGGTCTTCTCTAATGCATCGAGCTTGAAATGTTCCATAAAGGTAGAAAGATCAAAGTCGCGGAAGATGTCCTCCGTGGCACTCTCAATTGATTCAGCAATCTTACTTGCTTGATTGGGATCGTGCGAGATCTTCTGCATCTCGGCAACAAGAATGTGATAGTTGTTCGGGCTTGTGCCGGGCCTGTTGAGGCCAGGGAATATCTGGGGCGCATTGCCGGCAACGAGCCGGGTGAAGTACTTAGTAAACACTTCCATTCCGTGTTCATCGATGAGCTGTTAAGTAGGTGCATTGTCAGCAAACTTGGTATATGTCCAGCAGCGATAGTGTAGCCAAACCTTGTTCAATTGGTCAACCTGCAGCTCCCACTTAGCACGGTCTTTATCCTCCTTAATAGTACTGAGCAGAAGATAGACCTGTGCCACGACGATCTTTGTCAGGGAATTAGTGCCCGTTGGACTGCTGGCGCTTGGGCTTGCGCCAGCACTGAGAATGGCGGCCTGCGATGGGTGAGGAGAATGGCTCGCACCCGTCTGTAGTATCTGCGCAGGATTGGGCGAAAATGATCCCGCTCGAGGTGGTGGGACCATGGAGTTGTATTCGCGGCGGAGGAAGATGAGATGATTGAGCGCCTGCTTTCGTTGTGGTGGTAGGCCGGAGGGCTCAGAAAACGAGCGAGCGGGGAAGTGTGAAGGATGAAGAGCCCGTATATAAGATGCCTACATGGGGGAGCGGCACAATGAGGCTGCGAATAGCGGTCGTCGAGACGTTGCAGAGACTGCGCGATCGTGCAACGGTAGTCGAACAGAGAGGAACTCGTGAGCCTGACTCGACTTGAAGGTGGAGTTGGAGGTACGTGTCGTACTCGGTGTTCGTCGTAGGAAGGGCGCCGAAAACGCTACAAACTGACAGGGTGGGGGGTGGAGTCCGTAGCGATTCGGCGTCAAATAAGCCAACGAGACCCGAAATATTTATGGCGCGTGGTGATGCAAGTATCGATATCGTCAAGAACGTCTGTACACAAGGTGGTGGTGGTCGATGTTGGGTTTGGAGGACAAGGTACTGTAACTGAAAATGACAAGGCCCTTGAGAACGGCAAATCCCGATACGTCGAGTGGATCCACACTGCCTATACCCGCATCACGTGAGCCGCTCCAGGTTTCCTTGTTACCTACGCCGGTGGTCAGTGCTCCTTTTGTTGCTATGCCAACAGCTACACGCCACCAAAACAATACAGCTAGCTCTCCATTCACCGTACATTACTCCCTTTATCACCATTGAAAGGGCTACATACCAGATATCCTTTTTGTCTCGCTTCCTCTGTGCTTAGTGTGGAGAGTAGCGCGACTCAGGCTGGTCCTTAATCATCCATATTCGTTGGAACAACATAACCTCCGTCTGTCTTGACATTTGAAATTGAACACCCTTGGGCATCATGCCCGCATCAACGGTTGAAACCCCAGCTGTTGCGCTGTCTTGTGAGCAAACTTGAACGACGTATTGATGTTTCTTTGACTGATACATGATACTGCAGTCGCAAACAACTTTTGGGGCAAAGAAGATGCCGGCGTGGCGCCGCTGCTGAGTCGCATGACTGCGGCCAAGACTACATGCGATGAACTACGAGCATTCTATGGCGGTGCGTACAAGTGAAGTTGTTCAAAGAAACCTACCTGACTGAATACGCTGCAGCTCGAGCGTCGATTGAGGAGGAATACTCCCGCAAATTATTGAACCTGAGTCGCAAAGCCTTAGGATCGCAGGAGTCTGGTACATTGAAGACATCGTTGGATACCGTCCGAGGCGAAGTCGAACAGATGGCCAAGCAGCATCAACTAATTGGCGCAGAAATGAAATCAGAGCTCGAGGAACCACTCGCTGCCTTTGCTGGCGGAATGAAGGAGCGACGAAAGATTATCCAGAACACCGTCGAAAAGCTATTGAAGGTCAAGATGCAGCAGACACAGCAGGTTAACAAGGTTAGACTACTCTTCTCGACCCTGCATTGCCGTGGACACTGACTTTTGGTTCCAGACACGAGACAAGTATGAGCAAGAGTGTTTGAAGATCAAGGGCTATCTTGCTCAAGGCCACATGGTAATGGGCCAAGAAGAACGTCGCAACAAAGCCAAACTCGAAAAGACACAGATCAGCCTTGCAACTTCCAACACGGAGTACGAGAATGCAGTTAAAGCCCTCGAAGACACGACAACAAGATGGAACAGAGAGTGGAAGTCAGCCGCCGACAAATTCCAAGATTTGGAGGAAGAACGACTCGACTTCACCAAGAGTAGCTTGTGGACGTTTGCCAATATCGCCTCCACGGTTTGCGTTAGTGACGATTCGTCGTGCGAAAAGATCCGACTCTCATTGGAGGTTATGGATGTGGAAAAGGACATCATCACTTTCATCACTGAAAAGGGAACCGGACAGGAGATCCCAGATGCTCCCAAGTATATCAACTTCTGTCGCGGAGATGTGACGGATAACCAATCTGAGACGTCAGAAGACGACAACTATTCTGTCGCTCAATTTCCTCGCAGCATCAACCCTGCTTTCCGTTCGTCGTCACCTCAACCTTCGACATTCGAGTCGCATCATGATCCAAATTCTGCTCTGGCCAACGACCTGGCTCACAGAGAAGTTGCTTCAAGCAAACGTGACCTTCCAAGCCAGAAGCCAGCGACACTGCCCCCTGACGAGATACTCCAAATCGGCACTCAAAAGCCTCAACCTCAGCAGATTCAGGCGCCTCCTCAATCGCGTCAGCAGCAGATACCACGCCCTTCTCAGATGCAGCACCCCGCTCAACTGCAATATGCTCCCCAGCATCAGCATCCCTCCCAACTGCAGCACCACTCTCAGCTTCAGCACCCTTCGCAGCTGCAGCATCATCCTCCTCAGCAGCAGTACTCTCCTCAGCGTCAGCAACCATCCCAGCAGGTTGCTCACCATACAGGGCACCACATGCAACAACAAATGAGGCCTCTCGAGATGAGACCCGCAGATGGCAGATCTGGAGATATGAGACACTCGAACATGCGACATCCAGATATGCGACAGCAGGATCCAAGACCGTCTTTGGAGATGCGCCACTCTGGAGAAGTTCGGCCTTCCATGCAGTCTCGACCCAGTGCCGATGCAAGGCAATCAATGGATGCAAGAACATCTCTGGAAGTACGGCGACCAATGGAAGACCCGTATCGCCGCCAACAACCTGCAGGTCATGTCTCGTATGATGCCAACCAGCATGGTGCTGTTGCAGCCGTACCACACGACCCTTACCCCCTGGACGGCATGACGATGCTATGCAGGACTGGGCCCAGCCCCATCTCGGACCGGAGTTCGCAGGTGACATCTGCTCGACCTTCGAGCAGAGACTCCCATAGTGATTATTCTAACCCCAACTCGTTCTCTAGTGTGGAACCACCGAGCGGCAAAACCTCACCCGTCAAGCAGGATCCTATAAAGCCGAACCCAGTGCCAACTCAAGCGCCAGCACCAGTATCGGCACCTGCTCCGGTACCAGCCCCTGCTCCGGTGTCAGTCGCTGCTCCAGCTCCCGCTCCCGCTCCGGCGCCCGCACCTACTGTCAGCAATGGTCCAAGCCCAGTCAAATTAGTTGCTAAGAAGAAGAGCGGTGGTTTCTTAAAGAACCACAGCCCATTCAGGCGCAAGAGCAACAAGGATCTTCAGTCATCAAACAGGAACACATGGCACGCACCGAGCACGCAAAACTCGGGTAGTCCTGTTCGCCGACCACAGTTGCAAACACAAGAGTCAAGCAATGTTGTCACCAAAGAACGTACTCAGAGTCCCGAGCCCATCGACGCCAATGCAAGTCTGGCTCTGGGAGTGGGACAGAATGTTTTCCCTGTATCTACCCCTGACACAAAGAAGAAGCCAGGAGCTGCCACTGAACAGACACCTGAGGAGACAGACCCAATCGCTCTAGCCCTTGCGGAGCTGAAAGGTGTCACGTTAGGCAAGCAGTCATCAATGAGAATGTCCGCTGATCACTATTCTGGGCTTGCCACTCCGGCACCAGCATCAGAAGCTGCTTCAAGACAAGCCTCAGCCTCTCGCACAGCTCCGACTCCTGTGAACCCGGATGTTGCGGCGGCAAAGAGAGGAACACCGCCGCCATCATACCAAACCCCAGTTTCACGCCTGGGTGTCCCACCACCTGCAGTGACTTCTAGGGCAATGAAGGAAGCGACCAAGAAGGCAACCACACAGACACGAAGCATGTTTGAGAGTGGAGGTGGTTCACCAGGAGGATTCAATAGTACTGCTTCTAGGACCAACACTCGAGCAACCGAAACAAGGCGATCTGAGCCATCCCCAACCCAGAGTGTTCCACCAAGTGCTTCACGACCGGCTACTCGAACCACTAACCATGGCAGGGGCGAGTCTGGTAGTTACAGCGCGTCCCCTGTGTCACGACAGCCTACTAGAGCCACCGATAACGGACGCGGCGAGCCTGGAAGCTATAGCTCAGCATCCATGCCTCGACCAGGCACTCGGGGCACTGACATGGGTAGAGGGGATACTGGCGGCTATAGTACACCACCTGTGGCACGTTCGGGAACCAAAGCAAGCGAGATGCCCCGATCGGACACTCGCGGAATTCCTATTTCGCGACCAGGCACGAGGGGAAGTGACATGTCTCGTGGCGGATCTGGTATTTACGGATCGTCGCCTGGTTCCCGACCTGGCACCAGGGGCTCTGATATGCCCAGAGCAACTTCGCCAGCACCAGCTCGTAGCGTGTCTCCACAGCCACCTATGAACGACAACATGAGCTACAGATCGGTTTCGCCCAACCCTTACGCTGCTAGCCAGCGCTCTCCGTCCGTCATGAGTTCACCACAGAAGCATGGATCTGCCCAAGGGTATTATCCCCAGTCACCCCAGCAGGCTGCTAGCCGCGGGCCTTCACCTTCACCTTATGCCCAGCAGAATCGCCCCGGAAGCAGCTATGCAGGAAGCGACATGGCAATTCAGCTCGCGCCGGTTGATGATCCCTATGGTTCTCAGAGGAGTCGAGGCAGCCGCCCTGCTTCGAGGGCTATGAGCTACTATGATGATGGTAGTACCCGTCAACGTAGTCAGAGCGTAGCTGATCCGTCTCGGCTGTATACGGGAGATGGCAGAGCAATTCTGCATTATGGTAAGTCTTTGATTAGCCAGTATCAAACAGAGGAAGAGAGCTAACATGACCTTTTTACAGCACGCGCATTGTACATGTATCAAGCAGCCATTCCCGAAGAGTTGAGCTTTGGCAAGGGTGACTATCTTGCGGTCCTCCGTCACCAAGACGATGGATGGTGGGAGGCTGAAGTCCACGGCGGAGACGGAAGTGTCGGGCTGGTCCCAAGCAATTACCTTGCGGCGTGCTAGACTCTTATGATATGAGCGACTTGATGGACAAATTTTTGAGATATTTCTTGTGGAATGATTGAATTGTAGGTTAGGATTACGGCAGGAAAAGGGCCCCGACGAAATTGGTTCACGACTTGATTTACACCTTCGCTACGCTGTAATATTGTACAGCAGATATTTGGCATGGAAGCGCTGACGTTGTTGTTATTGTTACTTCAGACTATCTTTATTTTTTATTTGTGTCACGATTATTGGGAAAGATTGGATCATCGTCTGTAGATGTCATTGAAACATTAGATATTCTGAATTAATGTGTTGAAATTAACCTTGTCAATTGCTTGATTTCTGCCTCTCCCGTCGTCGTGATGGATATCCTCTTACCTACCTTAAGGTGGGTACGCACCGAATTATGACGTTGAAGCCGCTAGAGCTCCAAAGCTGCCCTGGCCTCAGGGAGCAAGAAAACATAAGAGGATGTTAAAATAAACTTAGCACAGAGTGCCTTGAGCTTAGGCCAAAGTTACCCAAGTCTTTTTGTCAGTCAGGATAAAGGTCCTGGGTTTTCTTTTCTCCCTCAGCCTGGTTATAGGTACCTAGCTTGCCGCCTTCACATGCCACTCACTCACTCACTCGCTCACTCCCTTTGACCTTTGCTCCCTTCAATTTCGCGACCTATGACTCCCAAGCTCATACTCATACCCATGTCTTCTATACTAATGACCTGAATAATCTGAAGCACTATAGCATGGTTAGTTGTCATGTTATTCATCATCCATTCGCGACTGACTTTGCTTGACAAGGAAACCCTACAAGAAACCGCCCGTGTTATCACGTCTAAACCTGTTCAGCGAGCTGTCGTCAACACCGTACTCCTCGTTTCGACAGCAGCAACCCTCTTTTGCACGGCTGCCATAGCCTCATTGCTCTTTTTCCAGAATTTCCTTCCTCACGAGGTCGTAACTTTGCCATTACATCTCCAATATGGGTGGGTTATGATGCTGTGCATGTTGCTCGCCTGACTAACAGCATTGTTACAGCTCTGGCATCAACCCGTATGGAATCACCTCCCTTCAGACGCCACCAATGAAGACGCAGCAGGAGTACGATGTGTCGTTGATTTTAGCGATGCCTCGCTCGAACCCAAACGTGGAGCGCGGCAACTTCATGATTACCCTGCACATGGTCGACTCGCAAGCTGATGCTGGGCTGCATGCTGCGGCGGAACGTCACGCATCGCTACACCAAGGACTGGAAGGGGCCAATGTACTGTTCACTTCACGCAGGCCTGCTCTTTTCCCTTACGTGGACCCGTTAGTATCGGTTGCGTCTCGCGTGCTATTCCTCCTTTACCACTTATTCACACCAGGTTCAAGCACGAACTCGATGACCATCCCGTTGGCAGAGCGAGTCTTGTTCTCAAGAGCCTCGGATCTCCCAAAGTCAGCGTATGTGGAGGTTGAAGCGGGCCAGACCATTCAGATTTACCATGCTTACCTTCAGCTCACGGCTCAGCTTCGGGGTCTCCGGTGGATGATGGTTCACTATCGCATCTCGACATTCATCGCATTGACCCTTGTTTTTTGGGCTTTTGAAGTTATTTTTATGGGTGTCGCCTGGGGACTTTGGAGCATGGCTTCAGGGTCACCACCTGGAGATGCCGATGGCAAGACCAGGAGGCTTGAGGCAGAACGATATGACTATGAAGATGAGGACACAGATCGCGCAGAGACCTATCCAACATATGGAAGACAGCAGCCGCTCAAGTACGAGCCCGAGATCAAACCAGAGGTGGACCCTGAACAGCCTTTATCGGAGATTCCTCGAGCAGGAGCCGACGCTGATGACGAAGATGAGGGGAGTTTTGACGATGATGACGACGATGTGCAACACAAGGATTCGGGCATCGGAACGAGTTATAGTGAAGAGGGAATTTCAAGCATTCGAAGGCGAACATCACGTAATAAATTGTAGAGGAGGCAAGCTTTGCGAGGCCTTAATATAGAGAGAGACCGAGTGTAATGAGTGGAAGCAGATACCCGTGGCTTATGATATGCAGTACTAGAATAAGAATGTGTTGTCAGCTGAGGATTTTGTGTGTATTATGCAGGGGAAACTGCCTGGTAAGTTAGACTATGCTGATCCGATATGCATGCCAAGTAAGTTGAACTGTAATTCGATGACGAGCTCATTAACAGGTAGTAGAGGTTGGCGTTTGTTTTTGGCTACCTACTATAGGTAAGTATCTTGTCAATAAAGAACGAACGCCTTTTATTAAGAATAGCAGCGCGCGCTTCCTTCGGCTTCACCACGATGGATACATCTGTTGGATTGTAATTTACAAGTCAAGTCGTTTGCCTGGCTACCGACGGTCAGTTACTTACCTAAGGTAGGTAGTTCCAAGGCGTTCGTTGTTGATGCGTACGGGCGATTCACTTTCACCGTTTGTTGACTGTGTCTTTGGCATCCCACCATTGACAACGACTGAAAGTTTTGTGACATCAATGCAAGAATACGATGGCATTTAATCAACTCATACTGTTTGAAGAGCGTATCAATGTCCAGTCACTTACTATAGTACACTACCTAGGTACACATTGAAGTCTTTCCGTTGAAATTCACTAACTAATTCTTCTGTGCACATGCATGTTTTCAACGCCTCTAGGCGGGGCCTGGGCTCAGGCTGTCGTGACCTCCCATTGTACCTGAGCATCTTGCTGTAGCTTAGGGGACACTCACCCATTTCTCAGAGCCCCTCAAGCCCCTCCTCCACCTGGTTTCTTTTTGTTGCCGACAGTCAAACGCATTGTGCATCCTTCTTCCCTACGGTACCTACTAACTAGAGGTACCTGGCTTAGTGTAGTGTAACTCAACAACACCGCCGGGCGTCGCTAGCATTCATTGGCTTTTCGTTTTATTCTGTGTAGGTATGTACATTCTCGCCTTTTCACATCCATTCACACTCACACTAATTACCTACCTAGTAGAGAGACATGGTTCTCATTCACTGAACTGAACGAACAACTCGACGTCTCCACCACAATCCACATCCCACCTCACCTAGCCATCCCCGACCACCCCCAAGTTACCTGGTAAGGTAAGGTACCTGACAGCAATCGTGCCGCTACCGCTACCGCTACGTACCGACCGCTATTACTAGCTCGATTTACCTGGACTCATTGCGGGCCAACTACTACGATTCCCTCCACCGCCCGCCCGCCCGCTTGTTCCTCTCGACGTCTCCCGAATCAACTCTGAACCCGATAATCACCAAGAGGCCAGACCCAGACCTGAGCTGAGTACACCGACCTGACCGCATGTGCTGTGTTTAGCACCTGCGAGCGAGCAACCGACTGCTTCTGCTGTTCACTCTTTGCGACTCCTTAGCTTGACCCCTCGCCTTCGCCTTCACCTTCGCCCAGCCTTGAACGAGCCTAGACGCAGACGGGACGAGACGAGACGTCACGCTCAAGTCTTACATACACAACTACCGCCGTGATCAACTTCTCTCTGCCTCCCCTCTTCTCGAATCTATATACATACACCAGCCACCTACCCTAGCACACCACCTACCGTCACGATGCCCTGCTTCAAGGGCATTGCGGTCAGCATTCATGCGAACTCTGCCCCGCTGCCAGAGTATGGCATGCAGAAGCAATCCCGTCTTTCGAGAATCAGTACCTACATTCCTGTGCCCCAACCTCAGCTCGCTGAGTCAAACAAACCCGAGCCTGCAAAATTCGCCATCTCCATCACCCTTCTCACCCCCGGCTTGCCTATCCCATACTCGACCCCGAAGCCAAGTGATGATAACCCCTACCCGAAGCCTCAGTTCGTCGGCGGTCTGAACACCGGCGATCGGAACAAGTCCTCTGGTGTTGTGAACCCATACATCCCCATGACCAACTCCGAAAATGAGACCATCGCTGCTTACATCTACTTTGACGGTCGAGCCAAGGAGGAAGTTGCTACTCTTCTGCGACCAGGTGAAGAAACATGGGTCAACAGCCGCTGGGTCCAGGTGCCAGACTCTGAAGGTGGCGGTCTGGCTGAGCGAGAATTTCTATTCCGCGAGGTTGGTCTCGAGCGTTGGCTCAACGGCCTGGACCTACAAGGCCATGATGCCGCCGAGAAGCTAGAAAAGCGTCGTCAAAAGTTTGAGAAACGCCGCCGACGACAACGGGCCATGGAAGGAAACGCCAGTGCCGACGTGGAACAGGGATCTACAGGACGCAGGGACACACTACGCTATGGCGCCGACGACAAGTCTCCTATTGAAGCTGTCGTGGACGACTCTGATTCATGGTCCGACGACGATGACGAACCCCCTGAGGCGACTGGGCAGATCAAGGTGGCTATGTTCCGCGTGCTTGCCTCGGGCGAAATCAAGAAGGGCGAATACTCACCCCAGTTCGGTGCTCACGACGGTGACGAAGATGACATGGGCTCTAAGGAAGGAAATGGCATCGACGCCGACGTTGAACACACGACAAGTTTCGCAAAGCCCAAGACTCTTGATCCGAAGACCATCAGTACACAGACAGTCACAGGCATTGACGGGCCAGACAAGCCCTACGCTGTCTTTACCTTCTTTTACCGAGGAGAGCGTAAGTATTGCCGGGCCTTCTGAGGACCGTACACTAACCCACATTGCAGGACAATTGCAAAAGATCGGGGTTCTACAGTCCTCAAAGAACCCTCAGACAACCCCTGGATCAGCCAAACGGAGGTCAGGCCAACTCGACTTCTCCAGCCTCGGACCTCTCAAGGCTGGCGGCACCGTCGGCTTCTCCGCTTTCCGTGATCAGGCTACCGAAGCCTCGAGACGACGCAAGGCTAGAAAGAAGAGCAATGGAAACATCGCCGATGATAGCGACGATGATGATGAAGAGGATGACGAGAACCTTGGCAAGATGGAGGAAGTGTACGCAAAAGATGTGAACGCCAAACTTGCGCCAGAAGACGTCAAATTCCAGGGTGAACTCGCTGAGGGCGTGGATCGTATTCACGTAAGTTCCGCGGTTATATCTTCCTAATTTTGAACTGACAATATGATGTAGCTTAAGAGGGCGCATTCTGCAGACCCAGACAGCTTGGCCACACCGGAATTGTCACAAACCCCGACCGCAGCTAGCGAATCCACGTCGCAAGTGCCTACCACAGGGGACTCTCCCGCCAACAATCTTCTCTCGAATGCTGTAGGCCTTGATACCCCTAGCAAGTCAATTTTCCAGAGTCCTCTCAAGAAATACCGACCCAGTGTGGATTACGGATCGGGAGGTCTGAACCTCTCAACAGGATCTGGCTTGAAGTCAGAGGTAGATTCAGCTGTTTCCGGGGGATCTGGGTCGGGGTCAGGAACACCCTCCAATATCGAAACCCAAAAACCGAAGGTTGAGGTTGAGGATGAGGAGGAGCTATAGCTATGATCATGGCGAATCCTCGATTTTCGATCGATCTTACAGACTTTGGCGGAAAAGTCTATTCATTGAATTACGAAGGAAAACGACAAAAAAGGACGGCTTTGCTCCAAACATAAAGCAGCCGTTGGGTGTCGACACGGACAGCCTTAGCAGCCTGGACATAGACTGATGGACCAGTTCTTCGGTCGAAGGGTTTACTCCTTGACTGGCACGAGTATTGACAGCACAAGATATAAAATTTTCACTATGAAGTTTATGTGGTGTATTGGCGAAGGTTAAGGAAGTATTGGGTGCTTCTAGGATTTGGGAAGCAAGTGGCTCATGTTGTATCGAGGCGGCCTGTCATTTCTTGGTTCAGGAAAACAAGCAACTCTTGATCTTGAGGAGGCATGGGGGGTTACTACTTACTAGAGGTTAGAAGGTTCTACAATCGAGTAGTCTGAGCCAGCAGAAGGAATCAGTGTTCGGTGAATCGATTAACTGTATGCAAAAATATACGACTGGCCATAATCAGTACATTCACGAAGTGTGCATGCCACTGGTCCAGGATTAGGCCCAGTAATGAAATCAAGGTCAGAGTAATAATCAATTGATAGCATTCTATTATAGCTTCTCAGGAACAAGCCGACTCAACGAGCCAAAATCCGACAATGAAAGGAACCTCACAATCGTCGTACCAATCGGTTACTAAACTTTTTGCCATGTTAGCCAAGTGCTTCTGACACGTTCGTTTGTGCAAAGAATGAATGAGAGGAAGACATGTCAGACTGTTGAGCTTGATAATTTTGAAATCAACATAGAGATTCAGTTGGCCGTTCTTAATGGAAGAGTTTGTCATCATGCAAAGGTAGGGAGGGCGATGAACGCGACCAGCGTGTGCGCTGGAGGCATCGAGACGTGTATTCTTGTGTCGTGTCATGTAAACGTACCTTACTGTTACTGGTTTGAAAGAACCCGCAGATGTGTTATCCTGATGCTGCAGAGCGCGTCTGCATATTCTCAAGAGCGTTGCCGCCTGAAAATATCTGCGGGAACCAATTGTGGTTGAAACTGAATTGTTGTTGAAGGCAAAGAAAGTTTTTTAAAAGCAGCTCCAGCGCAATTTTATTCAGTCGGCGGACCGGGGTAAGGTCAATTATCGGCATATCCAAGCTCCATCCCGCCATTTATGCCTATAACGAGGCCGCACTGTATAAGCACAGCCCTGTCCCCGTTCTTCAGTGTGTTTCTGCGGGCAACAGTCCATTATCGTTGACGTGTGTGCCTAATCTGCACTGTGCCCCTCAACCCCACCATCCATCCATTCGATCTCATCTGTCTCTTCCTTATTCGCTTCCACTGCTTTCCCCTCGGGCAGACTTTGCGACAACCCAACGGTTCTCTACCCTACTTCAAACCTTTTGATTCCCCTTCCCTAGACGTACTATCGATTAAAACGACCAGGACAGGTCCCCAGACTTCAAAATGGCCGGAAGTGAGTTTCTACTGCTCTGGAATGGCTGTACGACGACAGAATCTAACCGCGCACACTTCTAGACTTTGAGGAAGTTGCCAGTATGTTTGGAACCCTACTGGACTGATTTATGAGTCCAACCCACACGATCGTGAACAGAAGCCTAACGAAAAACAAACAGAGCAGTTTGTTGAGTTCTACTACAACACCTTCGACAGTGATCGCAAGGGTCTCGCTGCTCTTTACGTGGGTGGCCCTTCAGCCCAACGACGAGAACTCTAGAAGAACGAACAACCCGCTAACCCTGGTAATAGCGAGACCACTCTATGCTGACTTTCGAGTCTGCTTCCGTCCTGGGCACCCAGGCTATTACCGAGAAGCTTGCTGTATGCACCCCTTCGTCACCAGCGACTTCGAGTCGGCGTTGTTAACAATCTCTCCAACAGGGCCTCCCCTTTGAGAAGGTCAAGCACCAAGTCTCTACCCTCGATGCCCAGCCCTCCAATGACCAGGGCGGTGTGATTATTCTCATTACCGGTGCCCTCCTTGTATGTTTCCGACTATCCCACAACCTCCTGAAATGCGCCCACTAACAAATATTAGGTCGATGAGGAGCAGCGCCCCATGAACTTCAGCCAGTCTTTCCAGCTCGCCCGCGACGCGAATGGCCAGTACTTCGTCTACAACGACATCTTCAAGCTTGTTTTCGGTTAATCGAAAGCAGTTAGTTACACTGCCCGCCGGCGCCTTTTGTTGTTTGAATGAGTTGAGCGATGTTTATAAACACACAAACACACCAAGTGGGGCGACAGACGAGGGGAAATTAAATCGGCAATGGCAACGGAATAGCTTCTTTTTTGACGATAAGATGAATTTAGGGCATGGCTTGAAGGGGACGCAAGTGTTTGAGTCGGCTGTGATTATCTTGGATTTCCTCTCTCCAATCAAGCTGGATCATGGGTTTCTAAAACTATGGGTACTCCACCTCAGGTTGACGACATAGCAAATAGGGTCCGAAGTGATTAAGCCAAGATAAATCCATCCAAAATTGATCAGTGTGAATGCAAACGGTGCAACGACATACGTCACGTTTACTTGAGCATGGTCAAGGACCGTGTTTGGCGTTGTATCTTGAGAAATGAACCGCTTCGACAGCCACGGCCTGACTAATCCTTCAATAGCAGAAATGGCAACATGCAACAAGTTTTGCATGCCAGCTCTAGCAACATCATACGAAACCAATAATGCGCCTGCACGAGCACGTAGAATGCATTTAATGAGACCAGAGATGGGGATCATCTTGACAGGACATTTGAAAGGCGAAACATTCACTTTACGCTGAAGTCTTGTCCAAGAAGCAAGCTCATCATCTATTTTTTTTAGGAGGGTCATAAGACTGGCCTCACTGGTCACTGCGAAGAGGGATGGGACGAAACGTAACCCGAGAAAAATCATTCATTTTCCATGCCCTGAACCGTGGAACACCGTTTGATCCCGAAATCGCAATGCATTGTGAGGGGTATAAACAAATAGCCTTAGATCTTGGTAGCAGCCTCAAGAGCCTTTTGCTTCTTGATGATCTTCATCTGAGCCTTGGGACCCATGATACCACCACCCCATTGTCGGCGGGCCTGGTCGTGCTTCTCAAGGTAACCGTCCTTGACAGCGGAGATGAGCTTGGAGAGCTCGTTCTTGTCCTCGGAACGGACCTCGGTGATGGCGAGGACGGCAGCGGTCTGTGACTTGTTAGACGCGGATTTGAGTTCATGGTTTCGATCAACATACCTTCTTGTGGACGACCGTTCCGAGACGGGCCTTGCCCTTGACAATGGCGTAAGGGATACCCATCTTCTTGCAAAGAGAAGGAAGGAAGACGACGAGCTCAATGGGCTCGACGTCGTTGGGGATGAGGACGAGAGAAGCCTTCTTGTTCTCAATCAGGCCAACAACGTGGTTGAGACCGTACTTGACAGTGTAGGGCTTCTTGGAAACATCCTCCTTCTTCTTACCCTCCTTGACGGCGGTAGCCTCCTGGAGGAGACGCTCCTTCTTCTCGGCCTTGGTCTCAGGTCGATACTTGTTGAGGAGCTTGAAGGCCTGAGCAGCAGTGTTGCGGTCGAGGACGTGCTGGAACTGAGCGAGAGCCGGGGGAACCTTCAGTCGCATCTGAAGGATCTTCTTCTGTCGCTGGAGGCGGACATACTCGGGCCACTTGACCATGCGAGAGACATTTCGCTTGGGCTGGATGTCCTGGCCGATGCCGAAGTTGCGAGGTCGCTTCTCGAGAAGAGGGTTCTATAGACGTCAGCGATCTTGCCGCCAAAGAGAGAGGGAACAGAAGAGAATCACTAACCTTGGCGGCCTTCTTGCCAGCCTTACCCTGAGGGAAAGGGGCGGGAGCGACCTTCTTGCCGGACTTGGGAGGCTGTCATTGAGAAAAGAAGACATCAGCAAGGCGTTCAAGCCAACAAAAGGTCTTCTCTGAACTCTAACGAGAATAGGTCGTGACATTTCTGCACACGCCGCATCTCCAGCCAAGTCTTCACCAGCTTCGATACCTGTTACAGTGATCGAATACTGGCGGAATACCAACAGCATATGTCGCCCACAGAGTGTGGGCGACGCTGTGGCTCAATTGCACAATAAAGCGCATTTGACTCACAAAACTGTGGCCATTAGAGTCGAGTCGATTGTTTCAGTCACTCACCATCTTGAATAGTTGGGGTTAGTAGTTGCTCGTGGGTTGAAGAGCAAAAGTCCAGGACACGATGGTGGATGGAGAACAAAGTCGAGGAGAAAAGCGAGAGTCAGTGCCTTTTTTGCTGAGAAAAATAATTAGGGCTTCTTTGAAATCTGTACCCACATTGAGAAAAAAGAACGACTCCACTGGCTGGAAGAAGCAAGGTCTGGCAGGGGAGGGGATCAATCTTTTTCACGACTAATGCAGCACACGTGACCATGACTCCTCTTACAGTCAGGCAACATACGGAGTACTGCTTGAGTCAATCATTGGGAGGCAACATCTGAATAAGGAAAAAAGAAAGCTACCTAGAATCTGTAAAGCCAACGTAAATTCCAAGAGACTTTCCCAACAAATCAACTGAACTCGGTCGACATAAAGACTCCTGTATTTAGACAGGCCGTCCACTTCTTTTGGCCATCTAAATCATCACAAAGACCCAACCAGTTGAGACTCAGTTGGGACTTTCAAACTCCACTAACAGCAAAATGGCACCTACACCTTGCGTTCGGTGTCAAAACAACCGAGCTGTTGTAAAGCGACCCAAGAACCACCATAAGCTATGCCGAGACTGCTTCATCAAAGTGTTTGAGGATGAAGTCCATCACACAATCACATCATCAGACCTCTTCTTCCCGGGTGAAAGAGTTGCTATTGGTGCTTCAGGTGGCAAGGATTCGACAGTGCTGGCATCTGTAATGAAGACTTTGAACGAACGACACGACTATGGACTTGACCTAGTACTTTTGAGTGTCGATGAGGGCATCAAAGGATATCGGGACGACTCTCTAGAGACAGTCAAGCGAAATGCTGTTCAGTACGACATGCCCCTGGAAATTGTTGGCTACGACGAACTGTACGGATGGACCATGGACCAGGTTGTCGAGACTATCGGAAAGAAGGGAAACTGCACATACTGTGGTGTTTTCAGACGACAGGCTCTGGATCGAGGAGCCAAGAAGCTGGCCATTCAGCATGTCATCACTGGTCACAACGCGGACGATGTTGCCGAGACCGTTCTCATGAATCTGTTACGAGGCGACATGCCACGCTTATCCCGAAGTACCAGTATTGTTACTGGAAACGCAAACAGTGAGGTCAAGAGAAGCAAGCCTCTCAAGTACGCATACGAGAAGGAGATCGTACTCTACGCACATCACAAGAAGCTGGACTACTTCAGCACAGAGTGTATTTACAGCCCCGAGGCTTTCAGGGGAACAGCACGTGGGCTTATCAAGAATCTGGAGAAAGTGCGGCCAAGTGCAATTCTCGACATTGTACGAAGCGGAGAGGACATGGCTCGACTTACACCAGACAAGGGCCAAGCTGCGTGTGGCTGCGACGAAGGCGAGGGACTTGGAGGCTGCGGATCAGCCAACGGGCGGACTTCTGGTAACGAGATGGCCCAGGTCGAGGCCAGCCTGAAGAAAAAGCACGAGTCTGCAGCTCTCGAGACAGAGATCACATCCAATGGAACACCCAAGGACGATGCAGTTCCCTTGCCAATAAGGACTAAGAAGCAAAAGGAGACACCTACGCCAAAACAGAACCTAGGGAAATGTGTCAAATGTGGTTACATGTCGAGTCAGACCATGTGCCAGGCCTGCACATTGTTGGAGGGTCTGAATAAGAATAGAGCAGAGATAGCGATATAATGGATACCCTTGCGGTCGATAACAATACTTCTGTCGTCCCATTGCACCATCACTTGAGCAAAGCACTTGGTTTGAAATTGTTTTATTCTTTCTCTTAGCCGCTGTCCATCCGTCTCATGGGCTTCAATGCCTTGCTACAAGTACCCCAGATATATGTATTTACAATTGCAGTTTTGGGCTGTCGTCTCTGGTAATTTGCCCTCGGTTCCAAATTTCTGTTTAAGAAAAGCGCTTCTCCAACTGTTTGATCGAATTAATGCTTGAATCGCCGGTTGAATAGAAAAACAAACCTTCCAAGGGTTGTTCAACTCGAAGCCTAAAGGCGCTTCTGATTTGTCTGTCTGTCCTCGTAGAGTTCCCGTAAGTCGGCGGTCACGGTCCATCACTATTCAATTTGTTAGTGCGCTCGAGTTATTGTTCGGCTGGATCTAAATCGTACTTTGCTATAGACTAATTAGTATTGAAGATACTGTCGAATTTCCATGACTTACTCTATCCCATTGATCCACGGAGTAACGAGGTCGTTTGCCCTCGTTCTGCCAGTTCTTGACGACGGCAAGACCCGTACCAGAGATACCGAACATCTATCAATCATCAGTGAGCTTCGGTATCATGCGGTAGCGAGATCGGACGGTGACATACACCAATCATGATGGCATAGGGAAGAAGAGCCTCAAAGGGGACGGGCATCGTGACGGCGGCGCTGCCTGAGCAGACTCGAAGGTATTCGGCGTATTTATCGGAGAACGAGAGTTCGAATTGGCCAAGCCTGACCTGTTTTCCGGGTTCGTCGCGATGGTCGTGAGTCTACCGAGTAAACGGGCCTTGAATTGAAGCTCACGTCGAACCGAGCCATTGACGACTCAGCGATTGGTGATGCAGATTTCGGTGCCTGAGGCCAGAAACTCCCTACCTATCCCTGCGTCGTGGTACAGTAACTGAGGGGACCTGTCGCACAGTGTGCTACCAAGCTCCTCAACAGTAGAAGCCTACCTTAGCAAGAGAACAGAAGAAAAGGAGCAGCAAACTCCAGTTTCTTTATTTTGACAATCATTCAGCACTCCCAAGGCATTTGAAAAACGAATTGAAGCAAAGGAATCACCTAATTTATTTTCCTTAGACTTGTATACTATAGGATCTTCAATAATCCGCTGACAAGCACTTTCGCTTTTAAAATTCCGGACTTATTTTCTCTTCCCTGGAAGGGCTTGCTCCCTAAGCAGCTGTCGCACGCACTGTGGCAACTAGCTCCCGCGACTGCTGTTTGATATCACACAAGTTGACGCGACGTGATTCAGCGGCTTTCCTATCGCATCTCTACGATCCTTAGACTCTCTACGAACGCGTGGTTCAAACCAACTTGGGCGTGTCAATCCACTCCGAAATTTTCGTTCCAGTAACTTGTACTGCGCATTCGCTCCTGGCCGTCCCTCGATGCAAGCCCGCGTACCGCGATGAAGCAGACGTGACCACACTGCGAGAAACCCTTCGCAACCTACCGAAAGCGACCGATATGCAAACTCGAGGCTCTCGTTTCAGGATCTTTTCTTTTGGGACGCGGGGGTAACCATGACAGGCGCACAAACTATGGCTGAAGAGCTTCCACACAGCGTCATGGTTTCCGACGAGGATGCTGAATATGAGACGGCAGGCGAAACAACAAAAACAGTCGCATCTAGGTCAAGTGGAGGCAAAGGAAGCTCTGGTACGAATCAAGCTCCGGCAGAGAATGGCGATGCCGAGTTCGGCGACCACGACGCATCTGGCGAGGATGTAGACGCATCTGGAGAGGAGGACAACGACTACATGGCACCTCCGCAGACATCTTCTCACGGCAGTGTTGGACCTCCCCGAGGCGACGACGAAGAAGATCACGAAGATATTGAAGGAGATGAGGAACATGAAGAAGACGACGTAGATGCTGAGGAGGATGAAGATATCGATGCTGAAGGAGAAGACTATGAGGAAGACGAAGGCGTTGGTGCCGTCAAGTTTCAACCAGGGACAAGAAGCGACGACGAAAATGACAGTGAAAGCGATAAATCCGAATCACCAAGCGCTAACGACGAAGAGTCAGACGAGGGGGCTGCATGGGATGATGCCGCAGAGGCCGAGGAAGATCATGAAGATGAAGAGACGGCCGCCTCAAGCAACTGCGTCTTCTGCGGCCATAACGAAGACGAAGACCCCAGCGAGGAGTTTGAAGTTTATTTGGCCTGCGTGCGTTGTGGTGGTAATGGTAAGCTCACCTACCACATCAGTATATATTCTTTATTGGAAACTTATCAAGTATAGCTCACCAACAATGCGCGCGCGATGCGGCTGCACTGAGTGCGGAGAACAGTAGGTTACAATATGTGAATAAGCACAGTGTGGCCAATGCTGACAATACCAGCGCCCGAAAGTTGGAAATGCCCTGAATGCTTCAGCAAAGAAGAATCCGACGTGGGGAGTGAAGATGAGGAGATGGAGGATCACGATGTTGACCACAATGCCGAGATTCACTCCCAACAGTCTCATGTACCGGAGGTACCAGGAGAGCATGAGTCTGGTCAGCACGTGAACGATGACGAAGATGCCAGCTCCCAAAGCGACAATGACAGCGAGCTTGATGAAGGGCCTATTGACGCCCCTCGCAGCTTGAGAAAACGCAAATCTTCATCGCTAGAAGATGACGGAGATAGGCTTTCAGTGAGGAAACGACGACGAAACCAGTCCCAAGACGCAGGGTCAGAGAGCACAGCACGAAATGGAAGTGCTGAACCAGGGCGACACCACCCTCCCAGAACTGTGCGTCTCAAGGTTCCACGACCCCCACCCGTCTCAATAGAGAAACGTACTCGTACCTCACTTGTACTTAAACTTCATGTCAAGCCTGGCAATCTTAAGGAAATCTTATCTCGCAAAAAGCGAGAAAAGAGAAGGCAGCCAGGCAGTGCCACGCGCCCGACCCCTCAACGACAAGCCCTGGCTGCAGCTCCAGCTCCAGTTGCCAGAGCCAACCTTACTGCTGCAACTATATCTAACCTTCCCACGCCTTTTACATCGGACAACTACTCACAACCATTTTATTCCTTCTATGACCACGAGGCCGATGAGATGAAGGGCAAGCCCTACGGCGGCATATTGACTGAGGTCGAGGCCGACACGTCCAAGACTCTCCCCGATGAGGATGATCGAAACAAGTTCACCTCTACCTTGAAGAAAGCCGAGGATGACTGGAGAGCGCGTCTTCTGCAGGCCATGCAAGAAGACCCAAATCCCCCTACCCGAAAGTCGAAAAAGTCCGGCAACAACGGTAGTGAGATCGAATGCATCGATTTTGGCGGCTGGGAGATCGATACTTGGTATGCTGCGCCGTATCCTGCTGAATACAGCATAAATCGCGTGCTGTACATTTGCGAGTTCTGTCTGAAGTACATGAACTCTGACTACGTTGCTTGGAGGCACAAACTCAAATGCCCTGCCAAGCATCCACCAGGAGACGAGATCTATCGTCATGGATCAGTCTCGGTTTTCGAAGTTGACGGTCGCAAGAACCCGGTCTACTGCCAGAATCTGTGCCTTCTTGCCAAGCTGTTTCTGGGTTCGAAAACTTTGTATTACGACGTTGAACCCTTCCTTTTCTATGTTTTATGCGAATACAACGAGACAGGTTATCACTTTGTGGGATACTTTTCCAAAGAAAAGAGGGCTAGTAGCCAGAACAATGTCTCGTGTATTCTGACATTACCAATACACCAACGAAAAGGTTACGGCAACTTGCTCATAGACTTTTCCTACTTGCTCACCAAAGTGGAGGAAAAGACGGGCTCTCCAGAGAAGCCTCTCTCCGATATGGGCCTGGTCTCATATCGCAATTACTGGCGACTGGTTCTGTGTCGATACTTTTTGAAGGTGATGGAGGACGAGAAACACGCAACAGAAGGGCTCAGCATAAAACGAATATCCGCCAACACCGGCATGACCCCGGACGATGTCATTTCTGCTTTGGAAGGTCTCAGGGCCCTTGTCAGAGACCCGCAGACCAAGCTGTATGCCTTTAGAGTCGATTTGGATTACTGCCGAGAATACGTGGGCAAGTGGGAAGCCAAGGGTTACGTTCAGTTAAAATCCGAAGCTCTCGTTTGGACTCCGTATGTAATGGGTCGAACCAATGCCGTCAACTTTGAACTCGGCCCACCGATCAATACCATCGCGCCAAGGGAAGACGACGAGGCCAAGATTGACGAGGGAAATGGCACGGCTGCCATCGAGGATCATCAGCCAATGGTCAATGGGGAGAAGCACGATGCGTCTGCTCTCGAAGTAGTCGCAGATGCAGATGCAGACGGCGATGCCCCAATGAACATTAATGGAGAACAGCCCCAGGAATCTCCAGTCGAGAACCACAGTGCGGAACCAGTGCCAGTCCAGTCCATCGAAGATGTGGCGCCGGGGCAAGAGAAAGACAAGGACGTTGAAATGGAAGATGCAAAAGCCGCAGGCCCCCCGGCCTGGCTACTACCATACCAGAACATTCCGTTCACCCGCTTCGAAGTGTTTCCTGCAGTACCTGGTGGTCGACGAGAAAGAGCTCGACCAAGCGTCAGTCGACCGACTGCCCCTCGCCCAGCCAGTGCTCCCAGACCGAAGCGTCCCAGCAACAGCCATCGACCATCCTCGTCTCGACCCAAGAGTTCAAAGAAGAAGACTGGAGGGACCGGTCGTGGACCAGGTAGATGGCCAAAGGGAACGAAGAAATCCGATTACGGTAACGCTACCAGTGGCCCTGGTCTACCGCCGGGCTGGGTCGATCGCCAAGCCAAATTACCAGGTGTCACAGAAGGCAAGGGGCCAGAACAGGAGGTGGCAGTTCTTGACTCAGCAGCAGAAGACTCGGTTGTTGTCTCGACGAAGACTAATGGCGCCAAAGTCAATGGGATTGCTGCAAATAATGTGGGATCGGGATCAGGATCGACGGAAGAGGCCGCTAGAGGTGAGGACGTGGATGCTGAGGGAGAGGATATCTAATTTTATTGAAAGCGGTCGATTACAGGAAGGCTTGGGGTTACGGATGTACTATATACCTTGGTAGGATCGGCGCGGGTTGCTTTATTGGCTTGATCTCGTCGGAGACAGGGGTCGTTGTTTGTAGCAAGCGGATTGTTATTGAAATACTAGACAAGACAGGTCACAGAACGGAATCATGCTTCTTGGAGGTTAAAGGCATGAGGAGCAGGACTAGGAATAGGACTAGGAATAGGAATATGATTTATAACAAAGGAGATCTGTATTAGCGAGTGTCTGTCTATGAATGCTGAGAGAACTACGTGACTTACCTATTGTTAGTTTATGTTATGCTTTATTTGGTATGATTGTAGCCTCAACAGGTTCGCCAAAGACCTCCAGCGCCTTTGACTGCAAGAGTCCTAGATATACTTTATACATACGTTGGAACTCTGATTTCGTGAGAGATCCTTCGACCGAGCACTTGTCGAATGCACGATGCATGGTTTTCTCGGTCAGTTTGACTACTGACCTGCCACAGATGAAGGTGTTCTTACCAGACCAATCTTGACTGCGGATAGCCATGAGCGGTTTGTGATGGGTATCGCCGTCTTCAGGCTCCTCATCGTCGATATCACGAATGTCCATGTACTCGTCTACCATGCCTCCACGGTTCTCAAGGCCTTTGCCGTTGTAACTGTAGATGGGCAGGCAAACGGCATGATCCCCCCAGATCTCGATGGTGATCATCTTGCGGTACTTGGAGTAGATGGGACCGAAGCCAGAGACTGCTGTGTGGTAGTTAGTCGTTGATACCTTGTCGTCGCGGTACTGACTATGGAAAGGAGCCGAGATGATGGTTCCAGGCCCGAGTTCGTTGAGCTTTCGCCTCTGGTCAGTCGGACGCATGTGGACGCTGACAGTCTCTCCGAGGCTGAGATCAAGATGGGCCTGGTGGACTCCGTAAAAGGATTGGCCGCCCTGTCCAACATCTTTTGTTTGTGTGCAGCGCCTGAGATAGGCAACATCGCCTCCAACGTTGGAAGAAACCGAGCTCCTTACAGAGGAAGCAGAGCGCGTTGACATGGCATACGAGTCTCGATGCGAGTCACGGCCTCGTCGATAAGATACAGGTTCTCGGGTAACCATTTCCGCAGGATAAGAAGTCGGCAGTCCTTTGTTGTTTGAGTGGAATTGAGTGTAGAACTTGGCTGCCAGGTTACGAAGCTGCCAGCTACAGTCCTTACATTCCCAGTCGTCGGCCGCAGAGTGAAGAGAAGACATGAGAAAAGAAACAGAGTCCTTCTGTTCAACGTGAAGCATTGTATCTTCCTGACACGTGGTTGGTCGGCTGGGTTGCGTGGGTGAGAAGAGTGCGTGAGCAAAGATATTAGTCTTGAACTTATTAGCCCGGTTGCTGGTGTCAATTTTCAGAGACTGCTGGAGATATCTGCTTTGGACGAGACCCCTACTACGAGGATAGGCCTTTCGAATGCGGTAATCGTTGAATGGAGGCATTTTGATGGGTTAGTTTCTTTCTTGTATATCTGGAATATTTGGTGATTAAAACCGGTTGTTGAAGCTGAAGTTGCAAAAGTGCATGTGAGTGATTTTCTAGTCGTTGATAATGTCACGGGTATTGAAGACAGACCGCAATTATGTAGTTTACTGGCTGTGTCATCTTTTGGGGTCTTCTTTATAGAGTTACGGGCAAGTGTCATGTTGTTCAGTTGGACAGGAGAGATCTGAGATGTGTTGTTCGACATGGTGTTTACGAACAAAGTGTAGGTTGCCGAACAATATTTGTCTGGAATGCGAAATGCTGGTTGAGAAGCCCTGAACAGGTGCTTAGAATATGTATTGATTCTTAGGAAGCAGTATTTCTGGTGGTGTATTCTGTCGTACCTAGGCTTGAGTGAACACTGATGCTTCCTTTGCTGCAAGTCGACGTAGGGCTCAGAGCCATGTCGATCGAGAGTTTGTGCCCTCTAATAAGTCAATATATGATTACAAATTAGAGGTCTGTTTCATCTGGTCTCTCATTCATCACGTTAATTGTTTGATGGCCCTGGCTCTTATAACTTAGAGGCTCAAGTTGACTAGTGCCGTGGGGGAACGTGAACCTTTCAACTAACTTGCATGTAAGCGATAGCATCGATAATGTCACATCGAAGTAGAGGCTGTCTCCGCTGCCGCCAACGACGAGTCAAGGTAATTACTTAGCAAGTGTGTTATTCTTTTCAAGTGAGAGTTGATCTGATTGTCATAGTGCGACCGCAGCCGCCCGTCATGCCAACGTTGCATCGCCCGCAATGAGCTGTGTGTAGGGTATCGAGATGAAGGCGACCTCATGTTCCAACACGAAACTGCAAAAGTTGTCCTCAAGAGTCACAGTCACAGTCACAGTCACAGTCACAGTCACAGTCACACTTGTACTCCTTCCAACTCGTCTCGAGATCATCGTACAAGGAGTCGATCAGTTGAGCGTGTCTCGGAGAGCTCGTTCTCTTCAATCGCTTCTATCAATCTTCCAGCAGCATTTCCATGGTTAAGAGACCAGTCCAAAACAGAGCCCGTCTCCAAGGATGAACAGATAACGAGCATGTTCATGGATAAGTATGTACTGTTTCCTTGTAATGAGTCATCCTCCCCTGGCTTTCTTGAGCATCTCCCTTGTTTGTTCAAAGAAGTCAATATCGAGGGCCGCTACGCATTGAGATTCGCTGTTCAAGCATGTGCTTTCGCAGATCTTTCTCGTGAACAAAGCCCAGAGGAGGAATTAGTCAAGAGGTCGCTAGAGCACTATGGTTATGCTCTTGGTGCCCTTGGACAATCTTTGGCTGAAAAGAACAAGACACCAGATGATTACGATTTGATGACAGTTGTTATGCTGGATATATTCGAGGTGGATACACTACACAACTACACTCCATCTACCAAGCTTATACTCTTGCAGACACTCTTTATGCCTGGCTCGTCGGCAACTGGTGCGCACGCCCAAGGCATGGCACATATCTTGCGACTCCGTGGCCACGAGCAATTCCATGACCCCCGTGGCTGGGGCCTGTTTCGTCTAGCCCACCATAGACTCGTAAGCAAACCTGAACCCTGACCTGACCATGTGAATACGGGACTTAGAATTTGAAGCAAAAGCAGCATTTGGCTAAGCAATTGAGCCCACTACCTGAATCGCAGGATTGGCTTGAGAAGTTGAACGATGATATGGCTTCAGTAAAGCTAGAGAAGGATGGTTTAGCAATCAACCAAGTGTGTCAGCAGGCAAATCAGTTACTGACTTCTATCGATGCTGGAGACGTTGAAGCTCGCAAGTTGTTAGACCTGATGGATGAGATGCTAAGCCTTGATCAAGAAGCTACTCACTGGCGGAAAAGTCCAGAATGGAGCTTTCAGACTAGGACTCACGAGGAGATACTTGATAACAGAGAGTCCAGCTTCTGGTTGCCAGAGTCTGTCCAGCTTCACCCAGACGTATGGATGGCCTATGAGTGGAATTATCACCGTACTGCACGCATAATTCTTCATCAGAAACTGGTAGCGTGCTTGGAAAAGGTCAATACTGCGCTACCATCAGACTCTGGAGCTGCAACTCGGATCACTGAATCAATCAATACCATCCAGTCTTTGGCCGGCGAGATCCTGGCAACTGTTCCCCAATCGTTTGGCGATATCGATTGCCTCGGTCGATGGCATGCGGGGTCAAAGACGGCTCGCTGGCAGGCCGTGGGCGCATACCTTTTGCTCTGGCCTATAAAGATCATCAAAAGCCAGAGCGCCTTGACGACGGGTTCACAGAAGGAGGATGCGCAGAGAGTGTTTGAACGGATCAGAGAGTGCACGGGCATCAAGTCAAGCTTGGGTGTTCTATCCGAGATCTAATCACAAGTATCAAGACACATAATTCACAATAGTACACTCCCTTGGACTAAGGTATGCCATCAGAACACAGTATCCTCCAGTTCCGTTCCATCCTTAAGAGTGACAGTTTCAGCACCAATCATGACAAAAATGATCTGGCACGTAACGTCGCCCCTATTCTCCCAACTGTGATTCACGCCCTGCTGAACAATGACCTCTCCTTGCTTGACAGTCTTTTCCTCTCCGCCGTCGAGCCCCAGCACGATCTCACCCGACAGAACCACGGCGTAGTCAAGGCTTTTGGTACGATGCATAGGCGCTTTGCCGCCGGGCTGGATCTGGGTCATGCAGAAGAGAGAGCCTTTGGGGGGACATCTTGGAAGAGAGTTCTCAAATGATGGGACAGAGTCTGTGTTGTTGACGGGGACGCTTTGACGGACGTCGAAGACGTTGAAACCACTGCCTTGAGGACCAAACGGTTGAAAGGGTGTGACATTTGTGTCAGGGACGAATATGGAAGTTCCATCCTCACTGTGCGTGGTTCGTACAAGACGAGGAGAGGAGTTTGAGGGTTGAGGGACCATTGTTGATGATATAATAGGTGGTGCTTTGTATGTGTATTCCGTGTAAGTGAAGAATATAGGGATGGATGGATATGGGAAGATGGAGATGTAGATTTGAACAGATGAAAAGACTGAAAGAGAGAAAAGGCCTTATTTATACATATTTTGTAGGTGTATTCGGCCTTGAGAGAGCGTGAGCCTCAGTCGCATCTTGCTTGATCTTTTAGTGATCGTCAGCCTCAACCTCAACCTCAACTATACAAGGTTCCTCGCGCCGCTTTCCCAATTAGGAAACACCCACGACTGGCGATGCTACGGTGAAGATGTACTATAAGTGGAGGAGCAGGCAGAGTCACACCAACAAAACAAAGCATTTGGTATATAAAAATAGGTGAGTAAGTCACTGAAGAGCTAGTTAGAAATATTTAACAGTGACATCAGTTCTTGTGGCTATTGCTATGTACCTAGTAGACAGACCTCCAAACCCTACAAACGATGATAGACCGAGAGTCAAGGCTACATGGAATGCCTCACAACCTGGGCATCTAGTTAGTCTATCTCGCTAAGAAATAATCAAGCTCGCTCTGGTGCCCTTTGAGAGACGTTGAAGATCCTCCCGCTATCAACGTCTTAGACAAGACCAGCATCTTCAGGCCCATTCGATGATGCCGGATCCATCTTGTACGAAGGATTCTTCAGCTCCAAGTTATCTTCCGCAGGCGGTGCGACAACCTTAGGGTGCCTGAAGGGGATATAGCAAAAGCACACCGTAGATACTAATTGAGCGATAAGAAACCAACCAATGTAGATGATGGGGCAGCCGAGGAGGGTGATGATGGCGGAGAGGTAGAATTGGACTGCCATGAGGAGAAAGGCCATTCCGCTGGCGGTACGTGTTGCTCTCTGGGCTTTCTTATACGCTGTTGTTGCTGTATCTGAGATGAAAGAGTCAGCTCAAGTCCAACAACTACTTGACCAAGGTATTTCTTACATGGCGTTGTGTCGTTGTGTCGGGTCGATGCGACGATGGCCAGGGATATCTGAGCCACGGCTACTAAAATATAGCCATAACCTACAAGAGTCAGTACAAGCTACAAGTGACCACCCAGTTCAAGATACTGACATATGGCAAGATGTTGTTTTTCTCGCGTGACAGACATGTTGGCGGCTATTGCTGATGATTACTCGTGATAGTGAGAGACTGGCGGTAAATACTGGTAGGATGTTTGAAGATAGTATAAGAGAAAGATCCTCGTATTGAACATATATATCTAAAAGTATTTACTTTCATCATAAAGTTCACGAGTTTGTGCTGGCACAGATTCAAAAGTTTAGTTGGCCTCTCCTGTTTATAGTTTGTGCACAACATCAAGAAGACACTCTCTACCAATCGCGACCGAGATGCTACAAGCGAAAGAGTCAATATCAGTGAATTAACCTCAACTCATCTAAAGACTCGAATCAGAGAATGGCACGTCTTCAAGTATCAGGCAGCGGCAACAGACCCAGCCAAGGAGGCCCAATGAACCATATCTATCCAAGCTTAACAAGATCATTGTGTATAGGTACGGTGAGTAAGCTTATACCACCATAACGTGTACGCCATTTAGTCTCAGGGTACTTTAAATAGAGCATCTTGAGCCCTAGAAAGCAAGATTAAGATACAGGAAAAGATACTTAGCTTGAGAACGTCTATACAGTTCAAAACAGACTCTGGAGGTATCATATAAACAAACGTATTCGTCTCCAAAGTCTAACTAGAACCAAAGCCCAGTGATAGGATCGACTCAGAGAGTCCAAAGTTTGTTATGTTAATATTATACTCCAAGAAGCAACCAGTATGAGTTTCTACTTGCTCCAGCAGAAATATAATTTTTCACTTCTGCTCGGATTTCACGGTAAGCCCATAAGGACACGCTGAAAGGGCACTCTCAAAAGCCAAGAGTATCTTTGTGATTAGACTTCAAGGTGAAGGGAACATATACGTTGCTCCCCTTCCCCTTCCCCTTAGTTATTATCCTCATACTCTTCTCTTTGGTCAATCCTCGATTCTACCACCACCACCATCATCATCATGCCTGGATACGACAACTCACCCGCTTTCTTGGATAATAATGACATTATCAGTTCTGGCTCTGATGCTGTTGGCTTCCAAACAGTGGCCAGAGTTACAGTCACAGCAGTGGCCAAGGCAACCACTGCAACGGTCACAGAAACAGCAACAGAAACAGAAACAGAAACATCAGTACTCGAAGAGCAGATCGATTTTATTCTAGACAATAAATACTCTCATGTTATGGGTACTTCCGCCCTTGACCCTTCTAGAGACTGGTCTAATCTACTAAACTTGATATTACAGTCATATTCGCTATTGTCGCTGCTCTCGCTGCTCTTGTATCCCTCGCAATCATCTGCACTGTGATTAGTAGCTTTTCAAAAGTCAAGGCCTGCATGCCACCTCCTGGGGACGACAATGGACATGGTAAATGACGACTCTACTCTGCTTCTCTCTACTGCTCAGTGCTGACCGATACTGTCTCTACTTAGGCCTGAACTTGTACGGTTGCTACAGAAAAGCCCAGGTATATTTCATCTTCATCATCATGTTTCTGCTCGGCTGCATTGCCACCTTCACTCTAGCGACAGCCAAGATCATGTTGCTGGGCAAGATAGAAGGCTCTGTAGACTTGTTGAGTATCGCCTTTGCTGTCCAAGCCTTGACTTGGCTATCTGCAATCTTGGCCAGCCGCTCTCTGATGGACAATACCGTCACTATCTTTGAAGAAAAAGAAGCAGACATGGAGGTCAACGAATGGGATCCCAAGTTGTAGGCTCGTGGTCATCGAATCGACAATTGACGACAAGGACAAGGGCAAACCCAAAGCAAGGGTTCAATGGGGGAATCGAGTGATTAATTGGAAATAAACCGCAAAAACACACACAATCACTGTTCCTATCTCCATCTCCAAGTGCACATCATGATGCGGCTTCACTGCCAACTCCCTCATCACAATAGGCATACTCATATTCCTCCGCCTTCCTCTCTCCCCAAAATCCTTTGCCATAACTGACAAGAATCTCTTCCCCTTTCTTGATCCCTACATCCTTCTTCTTAGTCTTCTTCCCACCTCCAAGCACCCAAACTCCCACACAAAACTCTCCCCATCGCTCGCACCAGACCGTCCTAAATTCCGCATTCGCCCTCTCTCCCACGCCTCTAAAGTCGTTCACGAAACGTCCTTCGTTCCCCTCATTCGCTGCATCAACAGCCGCGTCAAGCTCTCGGTCCAGCCATAAGTCGTAGTCGCTCTCTGTTGACGATGCTGAGCCTGAGTGCACTCGGCCGAGATACGCGAGGATGAAGCTACCAGGCGCAAGATTCTGGGCTGCAAAGAGACCACTTTGGCCATTTGCTGGGTGTGACGGCTCAGAAATGGGCTGGATCTTGACCAGATTGCACGGTGTTGTTGTCGCTGGCGTTGCGATGATTGGAATGCCACTTGAAGCCGACGGTTTGTTTCTGAGAGCTTGTATGTGCGTTGGAGATAGACTCTTGTCATGAAGAGGCGCCTTGAGATAGGGGAAGCCATCTGGCCAATTCTTTGGTTTAGACATGACGAGGCTTATAAACACGTGATGCAAGATGAATGAATGCGATTCATTCACTAAGTATTATTAGCTTTGCTATGCTTTGCAGTGGCCGAAACTCCCCATGAGGTTGATGATCCACTGACCGACCCCACGTATTGATAAATAAATAAATATATATAAATCTATAAATCTATCAAGTCTGCCACAGTCAAAGTTACGACTTAATACAAACATCACATCACATCACATCACAGCCAACACCAAAGGTCCCAAGCATGCAATTGTTTCCTTATTACCAATGCTCCATGCAACTATCTAGACTATTCCTACAGGTCCATCTCATGAGACCATAAATGAATGCCCGCCCTACTCTCACGCCCTCAAGACACGCTTGCTTGCTCCTTTTAAGTACGTACGTCGTCCACCTGCATTACTAGACTATCGTATAACCACTCCAATCTGGCATTAATCCTATACTGCTAACGTCCACATCCTTCTAGTGGGACATAACTTCCCGGTATCGGTCCATGCTCAAGTCCACCGAGTATGCCAACAGACGATCTTGTGTCAAAGGCAGGTTGAGAATCCTAGACCTTAATTCCATATCCTGCAATGCATAGTTAGTAACTGTTTCAACCGTAATTACGTTCCATCCGCTAAAACACACCTGTTTATTCTTGCTGGCTTTAACAATCTCCTTGGCAGTTTCATCTGCCATGTCAGACACGGCAGCGTACCCCAACACCCCAGAATCTCCTGTTTCCTTGTCCATCGCGTGTAGACCTGCAAGAAGTTTCTCCAAAACTGCTTGTGGTGCAATCTCATGCCTCGCGCGATACTGGACGAGCTGCAGGAAGAAGCTGTAGATCTCCCCTCCAAGCGGCCAGTCCGAGATCACCTCCTGTCGGCCTTCAAACTGAGAGAGAAGAGCGGAGAGGTCCGCGTAGTCGCGTTCAACAATGGCTAGCGGTGCAACCTCCTTGACGAGAACACGGTGAGCTTCCACAAAAGAGCCGGCGCGCAGGAGGCATTGCACTTCTGAGTACGCATCCTTCTTAACGCTGCGCATGTACAGAGCCAGGGCCTCCCAGACCCACAACGAAGGGATTCGGAATTTTTCGGTGAGTACCTGGAAAGTGGAAGAGTTTTCATCGCCGATGAGACCAGCATGCCGGGCAAGATGTTCCTGGATAGCCATCTTGCGGGCAAGCGGCTTGCTCAGATGCAGCAAAACGAACACTGCCTCGAGCCATTCACCAGCGCTTGTTAGTTGCGAGGCGAAAGCAAGAGTAGCGGCGTCGGCCTTTTCCGCGCCATCCTGACCGAAAGAAACCTTGCCGCTAGACGTAAGCGCAAGGCCGAGTTGCCAAGTCAGCCTCATGTCAAGTGGAGAGAGCTGCGAGTTTTCAGGGCGCAATACAGCCTCAAGGTCGGTGCCGTCATTGGCGTATAACTGTAAAAGACCCCAGAGAAGATCTTGCCGGCGATCGGAGTCGACATCATCCCACAAGGGCTTGATACCCTGATCAATATACCAAGGCAACGGAAGGTATTCCTTCTCCTGGTCAACGTCATTCTTGAAGCTATGCACTGCAGCTGCTACGTCGTCCTGCTGAGCGATCGAGTACCACAGTCGGAGACCAAAGGCCTGCTTCCAGTCGAGTCCAAACTTTTTCGAAATAACAAACGAGTCTAGGCGGTCCTCGACAGGCACTCCCTTCATACCTTCGCAGACACATGCATTACCCGAAAGGAGCTCGTAGATAGTACGGATCGATTCTGAAAATTCCGACAGCATCTTTGAATCGTGCCAGGCCTTGAGCTGTTCTCGCATGTCTTTCTTGGCGGCATCACTGGTGCCAATAAGAGGCACCAAGGTGGCCAGGTGGAAATTCTTTCCGTCAAGGAGGTGCTTGCAAGCGTCGATGATTCGATGGCCAGCTAGGCATGCAACAGCCTTCTCTTCGCTCGATCCTGCCAGGCCGATAGTCGTAGCCGAGGCCGAGTCTACAAGGAGAGACCAGAATTGCGACAACTTGTTCCTGCGGAGAAGAGGCTCCGCCTGACTATTGTCGTTGACTGAGTCGAAAAGGATACTGGACAACTCCCAGACATGCTTCTCCTGCATGCTTGCGGGGTCGTTCAGGTCCTGTTGGTGGAAGACATCCTGCAAGTGAGTAACGTTAAGGGACGCGAAAGGAACATCATCAACTATTCGGATTTCAGTGAGCTTATCCTGGTTGCCCAAGTATCGCTTGGATTGCTATATGGCGAGTCAGCATATATAAATCTCGAGGTCCATGCCTAATAACTAACCTCCATTGCGAATGAGGCTAGGCGGAGCTCTTGCTTGTCAGTCTGAATCGAACAGCGTTGAAAAGAAACAAGGTCGGTATTATGGGTGAGAGATCGTCGGCTGCCTCCTAAAGCCAGTGGTCGAGGAACGACAAGTGTCTCGTCAGGACCCCATGTAGGTCGGCCAGCATCGTGGAACGTCTTTTCGTAACCGTCTAAAGTCATTGTCTTGTCTTGTCGCTCATAGGGCCACTAATCAAAACCAATTTTAGCATCAATTCATATACTATAAGTCAATAGATACATAAACCTCCAGGAATTACATTCTGGGGCCACTCAGGTAACAACTAGGGAACCGACCTTAGGAAAGCCTTTGCTAGAGACTGAGGCTCGAGGTTTCTGGGGCGCTGGCTTGGGTTTCTCAAACAATGAGTTCATCAGGTCGATGCTAGTCGCAAACCCACGGCCTTTATCCATGCCAATGGTGCTTGCCGCGAAATTGTCCAGCCTATCGTTCTTTGCAATACTCTTCCTCCAAATGGATGATTTCCGTAAAGTGTCTGATCCACTCTTGTCGAGGTCGATCAGTACACCCGTCTGTCTTGAGGGAGAGTCATTCAGTTCTCTCAACAGCTGTCGGTCTCGCTTGACTGGGCTGACAGTCTTCCTTAACATCTCCATCCAATCGTCCCCATCAGCAACCTCCAGCTGCACAGGACCAGCAGAGTCCTTAACAGCTCGCATTCTAGCTCTGAGGATGCCTCCAGGAGTCGCCTTCACGGCTTCCGGAACACCCTCGGACGAGTTGTCGTCGAGCTCCGCGGCTAGATGCGGTTCGAGAGAAGACCTCGCCATGTCTTCATCCTCGGACACGTCATATTCATCACCCACATCATCGGCGTATTCCTCCTCGAGGGACAGCCTGACATCATTGGGTGCGGAATCCGCGGAGCTATCCCCTAAAAAAGACTGCTCGCCAGAGAACTGGGGTTGTAAGGCTTGAACTTCCTCGTCGAAACCGCCAGGAAGACCTCGATGCCTTCGAAACTCGAATGTGTCATCTTCCATGGGGGAGTTGAGAGAGTTGACGGAAGCATCGAGAGCCACCTCCTGGGGGGCGGCTGGCTCGTTCTGTGTCATCTCCTCGTCGTCGGAATCATCGTCGTCAAGGCCATAAGTGGTAAAGTGCTCTACTGAGAAGACCCAGACACCAGTCTCCTTGTCGTAGCTCTCAAAGGTTGTGTTCTCGATTCGCTTGAGACGCTCAACGTGTTTGTTAAACCGTTTAGGGTCATTGGCGATACGCTTACCACCACGGGGCCACGACTGCTCGAGAGCAATCCTGGCGGGAACGTTGAGGCCCTTGCCGACAGGCGGTTTCTTGGCTGAGATCGGATAAACTGTAGCAGATCGAGGCTCAAGCACAATAAGAGTACCGCAAATCTCGGCCAGATCAATGTTGCTGATGTCTACAGGGACCTTGAAAGATACATAACCAACGTTGTCACGGCCGACAGTGAAACCATCGACCTTTTGGCGCTGCATGCGGTTCAATTTTTCGAGATCCTCCAAGGGAGGTGACATCCAATATTGTCCAGGAGCATTGTCAGCGGTGCTGGTAGATGAAGCCTCGGGAGTGGCAGTATTGTCCTCCTCATGAACGATGGCCAGTTCGTTGCCCTTAACTTCTTCCATTTCAGGAGTCTTGGAGCCGGCCGAGCCGTTCGAGCCATTAGCTGCGCGGGTTTGGCGAGGGGTCTCATCGTTGGCTGGGCTTTCAACGTCGCTAGCAGCAGGCAGAGCACCGCGAACAGGTGTACTGTCATCCATGTCAACGTTGCTTGTGTCAAAGCTGACACGCTTCGAGAGCTTTCGGGAACCAGTTCCAGCATCTGAGGTTCTGTCCTTCTGAGGTGTTGAAAAGAGATCACTCCTGATGTCTCTG